AAAATAAAGAAACTCAAAGCCAATAAATATAGGAGTTATAAATTGTTCCAGATTGTAACAATTCAGCTTTGCCCGATTGCCACCGTTATTTCTCAGGGTTAGCAACATAGAGAAGGGAACTAAAGGGATAAGTCAAGTACTGCATTTATTAAAACTAGTTAACTAAAAAGAACCAATTATGTAGCGTGGAGAGGCTTTGCTCCTGTAGAGCCTGCTGGCTGTAAGAGACTGTGCATGTCGGAGGTGTCACTGACTGATCAGGGCAACTAATTGCTGATTGGGCTTTCAATTTTGTTTGTATAGCGCCAAGGTGCTTTATTTTGTAAGGTAAAGACTCCACAATAATACAGAGAAAATCCCAATAATCAGACGACCGTCTACGAGCAAAGTACTGGGCAACAGCAGGAAGGAAAAACTCCCTTTTAAGAGGCCGAAAGGAAGAAAAAAAACCAGTTTAGCAGGATAGGACAATTACCTTTACAAATCTTCCGGTGTATTGAAAATGTGTAAAGGGGCGTCAAATTGCACTATTTACTTTTAAACAAGATTTGAAAAGTTTTCTAGAAACTAAAACGTTAATGCTTCAATCACATTAAAGCCCTGCACGCAGCCAAATGACAACGATATCTTAAAATTCCTTTATGCCCTTTTTGCAGGCCATCTCCAGGCTATGTGATGACAAGTACAAAGACGTGCGGAAAGCTGCCAGGAAGCGCTCGGCGAGCACGGACAATCTATGCGGGATCCGATGGGTTCCTGCAATCCTCTCTTAACCACTAATATGCTGTCATATAGTGAAGAGTGACATCGTGCTACAGACGCTGCCTGAAGGAGAAAATGTGTGTTTGTGCTCAGTGGAAGTGTGTCAGTGTGAATGGACCCAGGATGCAAAGCTACATTCTGGAACAGCGAGTGCAACCTGGCACCATCCAATGGACCTGGAGTCAAGAATCGCAAACTACAGTTTAAGCGAACAAGACGTGTTTCTACTTTAACTTAATGCCTTCATAGTGCCTCGATATTTTTGTACTGTGAGAGGGAAGGGAGTTACTGGTTGCCACGTCAACCATTCAAAGACATTCGGAGACAACTCTAGTTTTGGAGTATAAAGGAAATCCAGGACAAGACAAAGGTCTGAAACTTTTGAGGACATGGCATTGTCAACCTGTCTCAGTGTAAAAAGTCTCAGTTCGGCTTTCTGGTTTTGTCCAGACAAATCTCTCGGTTTTAACTAGCTTCAGAGATTCTAAATAACCTGTCTTTCAGATAACCCTGCGTATTATTTATTTATTTTCTAAGTACTTTTCAAAATTTTCAACTGTGTTTGGCAATTAGTAGTGTAGCACAGGACTTTCTACTGGTTATTTATTTCTTTGATGGGAGTAAGAATAATAAAGATTTCTTCTCTGGAAATATTCAAGGTTTACAGTTCTAGTGTACCTCTTTATGCTCAGGTAGTCTGGTTGATATGTCGATTGACTGTAATGCTCCTCATTTCAGTTATTGGGAGGATAAATGAGATTAGATAATGAAATAAACACCATAGAAAGAAAGGGCTAGAATACATTTAAAGTATCCCTATAGATGTATCAGTATAGCAAAAATCACCAGGTTTTCCTTCAGTAACATGACTCCACCAATTCAAAAGCAGGAGACAGCACGACCCTCTGCTGACATCTAGTGGTCATTTGAGGTGTTGCAGAAAAAGGCTGCCAGTCCAGGGTACGGTCATTTAAAAAGAGTAGTTTACCGAAACTACCATAAAATTCTACCATACCGCAGACGAAGTTACGTTACGTGTTAACATTACATCAAAAAAGTATCTGCAACACATGTGTCAGAGAACATGTTTCCTATTATCCCAAATAATCCACATTTCTTGCAGTGAACAGTCTTTATAGACGTTGTAGTCAAATTATACACAGTAATTTTTGTTACTGGCTGAATGGGGGAAAAAAAAGAGAAAAGATAGGTGAAAAGATAGAAAGTTGTTTTGTACTGAACATTTATTTAACAAATATCCATTTACTGTCAAACTCAAATGTGCTGTTGCTACTTAACAAAATGTTTTATAGTCAAGTAAAATTTAATGTCTATCTTCAAACAAAGAGAATGACATAACTGGTCTGACAAGTGCACTGACCACTGGATGCTGATCTATTGCAGATGTGAGGAGGCTACCCAACATTCCTTTGTTTATATATGTTCAGTATTATAGCATTACTGACTGTATATATCATATTTACTGTTCATCTGGAAAATCTGATAAAAAGCCCCGGTCTCATGAGCTTCATGCTCAGTGTATCCTACCCTACTGTCTTTATTTACAGTATTAACATGTTCTTGGATGGATGCTTGAAGGACTTGCTGACGTGTCTGGGTTAAAGGGTTTCTGTTTTGCTACTTCTCAAACCCTGTGAAACCCAAAGTTCCTCAAATATAGGGGGTAAGCCAAAAAAGAGAGCTGTTTTCCTTGTGTTTGATGAGGTCATTTTTGTAGTTATACAAGTTTTCACAGGACATGTTAGTAAGATAGCACGCAACTAAATAACAATATGAACCAAAGAAAAGTGTATTAATTGTATAACTGCAACTTCACAAATATCTAATGCCTCAAATCCCACAAAGTTCTTCTCTCATACCCCAAAATATTTTTTTTTATTAGAAGCAAAGTAAACACAGGTCTTATCTACTAGTTATGTATGATTGGTAGTCTTTGATCATCAACAACGTGTCCTTGATAAAGGGTGTCTTGAATCCCTGTGTTTAATCATGACAAGCTAGTACTACTGCTTAATCTTTCAATTCCCACTCACCTTTAAAAACTTTGTTTTGTAATTTGGTTTTTTTCATTTGGGCAAGATATGAATTTTTCCATGTTTCTTTTCACCTCAGTGTCTCAATGCTAAACCAGTAAAATATAGAAATATAGTGTAGTTATTTTGGAAATTAACTTTGTACAGTGTGTAAAGAGTTCAAAAACTGAAACAGGTTAAATTTAAGTTATTTATGGATGTGACTGATTTGTGTTTTTAATAAAACAAAATATTCTCGTTTGATAAGTCGTTGTCCTTTAATTATTTTTTTATGTTTTTATGGTCATGTTGTAATTATGCTTCTGGTGTTATCTAATTAGTATCAAATTAATTATTTTGTGGTGTGACTGCCTGTTTCACCTTAGCGGATGATTAACAGATAACAAACCTGGCCATGTGTGAGTGTGACGGCCAGTTTCCAGTAAAGTTGACTTGTACCTAGACATCCCAACAATGCTTTGATGGCAGCACGGTAAGAATAGCTCTCTCCGCAGGTCCTGTGCTCTGCAGACAGGGGTAAGAGGCACTATCAGCGCGTTAGAGGTCAGTGTGTTTAGTGGGGAGCGCTGACGATCAGCATTGTGATTTTAGAAGCAAGTTAAAGGAGAGAGCAACTCGGGGGACATCACCTCGAAACATCATCAGAAGTCGGACTTGCCAGTTTAAAAGAGGCGTTGAATGAGGATGATGGGGGCGAAAGAGATATTCTTCATCACTATAAATCAAAATGTGTCCTTTATTGGTAAGTCTGTGTGGCAGAATATTCAAATTAACGAGTGACATCATTAAAACGTTTTCATGAATTATTTGTGTATAAGCGGGTGCTTTATAATGATTTATCACTCTAACACGACACAAGGATTTCCTGTGACAATTTACTGTTGCTATTATTTTTAAATTACTAACATTAATGCATTATATGCTTATTTAGCTGTATTTAACTTTACTTAAAAAATACAGCTTCTTATTAGGCATTGAAAAGATTTGGTAGCACATATTCATATTCACACATATTCACCATCTCCATTACAGGCAAAACCTGGTGGATACTGATGTTGGTTTTCCGTCTGCTTGTCCTCCTCCTGGCCGGCTTCACGCTCTTTAGTGACGAACAGGACAGATTTAACTGTAACACCATGCAGCCAGGCTGCTCTAACGTGTGCTTTGATCTATTTGCTCCCGTCTCTGTCCTCCGTCTCTGGCTCTTCCATCTTACTCTTCTTGGTCTTCCCCATTTGATGTTTGCCACCTACATCATGCACAAAGTTTTGTCATGTCCCTATTTTGGAGGTTTCTACTGGGGCAGGAGTCGAGGAGGCTCGCCTTGCAGCGAGAATTCAGAATCCTCGAGAGAGTCGTCCTCGCATAAAGCCATGCTTCATGACCTCCCACTTGGGAGGTCATGCGTGGGAGCGCCACGCTTCTACGGCGCTTACTTCATAGTTATAATTCTACGAATTCTTCTAGAAGCTATTTTTAGCGCAGCCCAGTTCTTTCTCTTTGGTTTGTCGATTCCTAAGAGTTTCCTCTGTTATGAGGCTCCCTGCACATCTGGAGTTGAATGCTACATATCCAGACCAACAGAAAAGAACTTAATGCTCAACTTCATGCTCTGCGTTGCGTTTTTATCAGTCCTGTTAAGTTTGGTTGATTTGGTGAACTCTGTGAAAGCAATGCTGAGGTGGAGGAGGAAGAGGGAGATGCTGATGGAGGAGATAAGTAATAGAGAGCAAAACAGCATGTTTAGAGTGGCAACTGTGACAGAAGACACTGATATTCTTTTAACCAGACGATCCAGCCCAAGTGGAAGCTCAAAGGTGAATGGCCTCAGAGATGAAAAACCTGCTGATGCAGTTGTGCCAAATAGTGGACTTTTTCAAATGAAGGCGAGTGTTGGGACCACGGTTAGAACTAGTGCAGCTAATGACAAGAGGCCAGAAAATACAGATGGCAAAGAGGTGATGCCTCGGTCACCCACAAGCACTTCAGTGTCATCTCACTTTGCCCCTCAGCACCACTTAAAACCTCCACTGTTCTCTCAAACAGACAAGGGATCACCAACGAACCCCAGAGCAACAACACCAATCCGGCAGTGTCGTAACGACGGATCTCAAGACAAGAGAGCATGGGTCTAATTGGCTGACCGTGGCTGTTCATTATTGGCCCTGCACACACATTTACCTCATTAACAAAACCAAATATTTTGCTAGATGTGAATAAATAAGTTCTTCTTTACCAGGAAGTTCTGGGAATTATGGACTAATAAAATTTACAGTTGATAAAATACTGTAAATTCTGAAATAGGGACCTCATAGCGAGAGCCCTGCAGCTTCCTCCAGCTCTATAGAACTTTTTTATCATCTTTTAGCATGTTGTTTTGATTTGATGACCACTCCACTCTCATAAAATGTGTTTATCCTTTTAATTTTGCAGAAAAATAAAGTTACCAGCTAGAAACCTAAAGTTGTTTTTCTACTAATGAATACAGATATTGTTGGAGATTAACACCAGAGCTAAAAGGAGAAGGAAAACGGTCCTAACCATGCTGTAGTGCTTCTCTATACATGTAAACACAAATGCTAACTAACATGTACATCATGCCAACATTAAAAGAACATAATGTGTCAGAGTTTTGCTTTACATTTTCTTCAATTTCCTCCAAGTGGCTCAAAATCATTTAATGCTGCTTTAAAACACACAGTGCAGATTTTGTATTTCAGCATGTCAAATGTTACATGTTGAGCAGCTACATATTAGAAATAAATACATTTCTTTCATGACAAAAAAAAGCTAAATTCTAAGAATCAAAGCCATCTTGATAGGACAAAATTCACTGTTAACTCTATGAAACAGTCATAGCAGGTCTGAGCATGTTTATTTTACACCCTGAGCTATTTGTGTTTCATTATGAGAAAAGGAGGCGTTCAAAATAAGTAAGGAAAAAATCCCCGACTGCT